GAATTTTAAAATTTTAATTTCGATGTTTTGTTCAGATATATACAGTGCCAACAGATAATATAATAGTGCCAACAGATAGATCAATATAACAGTGCCAACAGATCATTTGCATTGCTGGACAAAACCATGGATAAACTATATGAGATTTTAATGGTTATTCTTTCCATGTAATACTAAGTATGATAGTTTTTTATATATTATATTTTATGAGTGTTTCAAACTAATAAACTTTTTCAAAGGTTTGTTTCTTTTAATATTTGACTCAAACGCTACCTTGCCTTATAAGTTGAGTTCAAATTCCTCTATTTGTTCAACAATTGTGACTAAACTAAACTAAACTAAACTAAACTAAACTAAACTAAACTAAACTAAACTAAACTAAACTAAACTAAACTAAACTAAACTAAAATATTTTTAGAATAGTATTTTATTGTATAAAATTTGTTTCCATTTTTCACGCTATTGCCATTCTTATAATTAATTTCCTGAGTTAAATTTATAAAAATCCTTTCAATTTTCAGTACTTCGTGAAATGCGACAGATATAATAAAAGATAATAAAATTTATTTTTGATATAATTTAGTTTAGGATAATACTTAGTACTTTAATAAGCAAATCAAGTTAATATACGTAATATTTTCATGTTTACAAATGATTCTATTGTAATTATAATTTCGTGCGCTCAGCTTTCGCAGCTTAAGGTTACTTAGTACATAATATTTTGTGACAAAAGTAAATAATTTAAAATAGGATTGTTAGTTGTAGTAAAGAATTGATTAATTCCAATAAATAAGCAAAATTTATATATTAAAAAATATTTAACAATACTTTAACACAACAATAACATTTAATGTAACCAAAACATGTAAAAAAAATAGCTTACCTTAACATTCCGTAAAATGATTCTAATTCTTACTCGAAATGACCTAGATTGTTCATTTTAAATGGTTCACAAATGAACTGTGATTCAACAAATGAATGAGCATAATTAGCAGAATGAGCCAAAAAGTGAAGATGAGCATCGATAGGCTTAATATTTTTTGACACTGAATCAGAATTTTCTGAACATATTGACTCCTCATGATATTTTTAATTCTTCGATCCAAGGCGTTTTTTTTAAATTATCGTTTTAATAATACATGGCACTAAAATCTCCTTTTTATGCATTAAGTTTTTTCATCATTCACAAATATGTTTCCTGAAGGGTTTAATTACTTACTTTAAATAATTTATGTTTTATTATATAAAATTATTTATAGCTTATTTAAAACAAATATATAATTAAAGTTTTAGTTATCCGTTAATATACCTCAATACATTTTCATATAAAATAAAGTTTTTTGCTAAACCTTAAATCTCACTTTCATACCTACGAAACGTCATTTCACTTTGTATGAGGCTTATGTCTAAGTCTAGGTTTTCAGGAACCATTAATTAAACAAACCTTTAGCAAGCGAATAATTTCCAAAGAAATTCACTAAAACTAAAAAAAGTGGCTTGTATTTCAAAAGCTTTGTCTTACCACTGTTGTCTTGGACAACCATTATGAAGTTATGGAAAAACTGGTAAAAACTCTGGTTACGTGAAATGGGTTTTAATTTTTTGGGGACGGGACAGGGTTAAGCCTTGCTTATGAACCCACCTCCTTTTAAAATAAAGTACTCCCACAACAGTCAGTTATCAAGGAGGTTAAGAATTTGATATCAACGTCATGATGAAGGTACTCTGTAAAAAATTCCGATTCAAATAGCTGAAAAAAGTACCGACACCCTGGGTTCATCATCATCAGTGAAATTAATTTTATCGTAAAATTAATTTTTGAAATTTTACGATGAAGAAGAATTTCACTGTAGTAAGTACCAGCACACTGGGTGCCAGTACATTTTACAGTAATAAGACACGGAATTTTTTACAGTGTTGTGCAGTCATCATTTCGCATCGGCCTATCGATGCGCTTTAAGCCACGCAATGCGCTATCGATACGCTTGGGTATACTTCAAGCCGAAACCGGGTATTAAAATCCGATCCTTTTAAATGAGAGTTCAGTGCCTTAAAAACTATGCTATTGTGGCTCCCACCTTTTTAAATGAAAAATTACTGCTTTTCCAAAGTGAACTTTAATTGACAAAATACAGAATTTGAATGAAATCTGCTGAATAGTTCCTGAGTTGGGAAATTTAAAAAAACTATATTCCTTATTTCTAAAAAACTGTTTGACCAATCTCAGATAAATTTTATATTTTGTCACTTAAAATTATAAAGTTTAAAGTGATTTATGTATAAAAAATTTGTGTATACCTTACAATTCGATGTTTTTTCGAGCCCTGTGAAAAATAATTAAAAAAATATTAAAATGATTTTTTTACATAAATTTATATTTGTGCAAACTTAATTTATAATTCATAGCAAAAAATTTTAGATTCACTTAAAAAATTCCCGAGATGTTTGATATTTACATCATCTTCATCATCATATCTGGCTAGACAGCCCAGGGTGGGCCAGTGCCTTCTTCTGAATTCGAATCCACTTCTCTCTACTTTTAACACTTGTTCGCCAGTTTTTCTCCTTTAGAGTAAGGAAATCAGTTTCAACTAAATCCAGCCATCTCAGCCTGGGTCTACCTCTTTTCCTGTTCGTTAGGGGTTTGTGTAATAGGATTTTCTTTAAATTTGAGTCATCATTCCTTCTGAAAATGTGAGCGGCCCAGTTCATTCGATTTATTTTAATGAATTTCACAATATCTGGCTCTCTGTAGATTTTATACAGTTCAGTATTATATCGTCTTCTCCAGGAATTATTTATTTTTATCCCACCAAGGATGGCCCTCAAAACTTTTCTCTCAAAAATGGCCATTTTATTTTCACCAGCTTGAGTTAGGTTCCAGGTCTCAGAGCCATAGGTAAGATATTTACATAAGGGGACTTAAAATGCTCTCGAAAGATGATGAAATACGCAAAAAAAAAAATTATATTGAAGGCTAGAAACTTTTGACGACTCTTCTAATTAAGAAATCGGGAATATATTTTTCCAGAATGTGGGTATCTCTCATATTTTATAGTCAAAACTCCAAATCCATCGGAAAAAAAAATTTAGCTGAAAAAGTGCGTTTTTGTGTCTTATTCGGAAACGTAATTATTAGTAAGCTCTGATTAATTAGCATATTTGAGGTCTCTTCTTTGAACCATGATGAATCAGCACTCAGTCTGTTAAAATTCAAACATTAGGCTAATTTTTATTCATGGTGATAGTTTTCTTACTTTACGCACTGTATATACGAAAAAAAAGAACCACCCGGAATAACTTTTGATCTACTGATCGAATTTTCACGTTTTAGAGCTTAATCTGAATGACTCGAGGAGGTAACCTCAAATACGCTAAGAAATAAGTGCAGACGATACTTGAAGTTACGAAATCAAACTCACAAAGGTAATTTCCCCGAATAATCATACCTTCTTTACTACAGATTCTGATTTCTGATCCCCAAAACATAGGGGGTAGCCGCAATATCGGAAATATGGTCCCAATAGTTTGGTAAGGAGAGCAGTCAAAAGTTTGTATCACTTAATGTTAATTTTACTTTTTGCGTAGTTCGCTATACGCTATTTTAAGCGAATTGAAAAATTTTTACACACAATTATAAAATTCACTTATTCGAAGATAATTCAATGCGAAAAATAAAAGTTAATAAATATTTATTATCTTTTATTATTTTATTTAAGAATGGTCGGAAAACAAAAAAAAAATTGAATTGTAAGATACAAAATTTTTTGTATTACTTTAAAGCATATAATTTTATATAGTAAAATACAAATTTGAGCGAAATCTGTCGAATATTTTCTGAAAAATTGAAATTCAAAAAAGTCAGATGCTTAAAATTTGATTTTTCAAGACTTTTTCGACCGATTTGGCTCAAATTTTGCATTTTCCTATATAAAATTGCATGCTTTAAAATTATACTAAAGATGTCGTACCTTACTATTCAAAATTTTTTGACCATTCTTAAATAAAATAATAAGATATAATAAATAATTATAAAAAGTTTTGTTTGCGTGGAATTTTATTTGGTTAAACGAATTTAATAATTGGGTTCAAAAATTTTTCAATTCGCTTGAAAAGTTCTCGTGATCTAGCGAAATACGCAAAAAGTAAAATTAACATTAAGGGGTCCAAACTTTGGACCGCTCTCTTGACCAAAGTATTTGGACCATATTTCCCCGATTGCTACTGTCCCCGATATTTCGGGGATCAGAAATCCGAATCCGTCATTAAAAAAGGTGTGTTTTCATGAAAGTACGTTTTTGTGTCTGATTTCGTAATTTAAAATATCGTCTGCCACGTATATTAAATTGGCATAATTGAAGTCACCTCCTCAAACAAATAAGATTGAGTCCTAGAACGTGAATATCCGATCATTAGATCAAAAGTTATTCAGTGTGGTCCGGTTTTCTTTTTTTGCTCACTGTACATAAAATATTCCCATGTAATGGATGTCAACTTAAAATATGAAAATCCGATCATTAGAGCAAAAGTTATTTTTGCGATCTCATTCAATGTGCATATAATGTTTTCAATGAAATAGTCACACATTAAATCTGCATTTAAAAAAACACGAACGATAACTTGCGTAAGATATTAATGGAAAATAACATTTCTAAATTTTGTAAAATAGCGAAATCATAAGTTGAGTTAATTTAAATGGATAGGTTTACTTCGTGACAGAAGTTAAATTATAAGCCATAAAATAAAAAACTAAAATTTTTCATTCCATTTTATCTTAGAGTCTTTCATCTCAAACAAACTTAGGAGGCTCAGATCGTAAGAAAATCTGAAAAGTTCCTTTCGCTTTTATAAGCTCTGATGAAATAGTTTTCGACAGAGGCTATAAATAAATTTGAATTCCATTAATATTCGTTATTACCTACTGGCAACAGGAGTGCGGACCAATCTGAGAAATCCCGGTCAGAAAATCGGGCAAGATGTAGGTTTAGGAGAAGCGCATGCTCATGTACCCCTCAGAAGGCGCAAGAGAAACTCATTTCCCAGGATTTGAGTGCAGCCATCACTTCGTTGTTGAGTTCTCTGATCGATGTACTTAAAACCGCTGTTGTCGGACCTTCATACTTACGTATAAGTTAGGAAGCATGGAGAATTGTGAAGAACTATTTTGGACAAAGCTTTTCCCGCCAATCTAGGATGTCGTCAGATCTTTAACAATGAAGATTCTTATTCTATCCTACCTTCGATCATGTGGAGGTATTTCCCATTCAGGTACTTTTAACAGTTTTCCTCTTTAGCGAAAGCTTTTTATTTTGTAATAGATAATGATGATTCCGGACTCTGCAGTCAAAAGAGATCTTAACTAAGAGAAATTATGAACATTAGTACCTATGAGATATAGGTTTTGTTTACAGTTCTCAATGATTTATGGTGCTCCGTGATTCATTTTTTAAGTATTTTTTTTCAATTAAAAGATAAGTTTAAGTGTTTTAGTGGGTTAATGAGTTTAGTGCATATCCGGTTATAACACACATTCATAAAAGTATTATAACATATTTATTTTTTAATAATAATTAAAGTTTATTTTTTTAAATATTTTTTTTTTATATATGTTGAATTATTTTCGCGTAATGGTTTGAGTCAAGTTTTATTTTAATTAAACGTATTTTAATAAAACATACTATTCTTTTGATGGGTTTACTTTTATCAATGATTTATCTGTAAAAATTAGCAAATATATATATTTTTAGAAACAAAAAACTTAAGAACATATTTACTTTTTTTTTTAACTTACTATAAGCATATACAAATTTTCCACATCCCTACCTGTTGATCCATTTAGCTAATTTTGAATTTTACTATTAGTTTCAGTTAATATTGAACAATAATAACACTTGATAAGTAACAATCTATTTTGTTTATAACAATTTTTGTCTTAATTTAGTTGTGTTTTTAATCAAAATTAATCAATAGCATGTACCTATATTAAAACACTTAGCTCGATATATTACACAATAAATAAGTGATAATATAGTTCATAACAAAATACGGTCAAATTAAATTAGTTCACAAAATTAAATATTTTTATAATCCTTGTATATTACATCTTTACACATCTTAGAATGGTGAGTTAATTTTTCTTCGAATGGTGAGTTAATTTTATTATTTTCTCCATAGTTTTAGCTATTAAAAAAACACAGTACTTCAAAGTACGTTATTAACTTGTGTATCCTTTAAATTGTTAATCAAGCTGATTTATGTTTCTGCCATTGGATAAAATTTTTATTATGCGATTTTTAACTTCATTAAGCTCATTTAAAGAAAAAAATTATGATAAAATATCTGTCTATACAATCTTGTTTATATAGTAGTAGTAATTGGTAATGGTAATTTTGTTATACTGATTATAACTGGTCCTTGACTGAAAAATCTAGATGTATAGTAATTATATTTCAAACTTAATAGTTAAATGAAACAACAGCATTCCTGATATGATGTATTCTTTTGAGAAGTATGATTATCAACAATTTTAATGATATATTTAAAAAATAATTCGGCTTTGTGTGCTAAAAATGATTTGTGAACCAATAATTCCTAAAATATTTCTAAAATTCATTGTAATTACATTAATTAATTAATTAACTATGCATAATAGTCGAATCTTTCTAATAAAGATAATGATAAGTTTTTTTTCAAAATAGTCTTCTTATGAGAAATATATTTCAATTTCTTTTTAGAGGAAAGCTACAGATTATTTGAAATTTTTGTTCTTTATATAATCGTTGCAGTTACTTTAAGAAAACTCTCCAAAACAGTTTCATTTACGAATGATATTTTATCGATATAGTTTATTCTTATTTTATTTTAGTTTTTTTTAGAAAAATCTATATTGTCCATTTGGACTTGAACCCACCTAACTCATAGATATTAAAAATTTTCACAAATTGCATATTAAAATATATATAACTACGCCACCTTTAATAAAGTACACAGACCTTGGAGCAGTGAACTATATTTACTTAACATTCAAAAATTGAAGTGCGAAAAAGGTTAGAGACCTTTTAACTTAGATTCAACTACAATCAAACAGGTTTTCAATCCCGCCTTCATCAGTAGTTATTCGTTAGATTTCGACAGAATATTTGTTTCCTCATTTAAATATTTATTTGTGACCCTTTATGTTAGTAATGTTTTGAATACATTTGTGAAAAGGCTTCTGTCTCTCTATCTCTATCTCTCTCTCTATCTCTCTTCTCTCTCTCTATTTATGTGTCTTTGAGAGATCCTTTTTGTTTTTTTCGTAATCAGACTTATCTTGTTGTTTATTACATTCGCATTCCTGTACTGTGATTTGCTAGATTTTGATTGTTTTTTTGTTTTTTTTCCGCTTTTAAATATTAATTTGCAATTCCTAATGTGCATACTCGTTTGTTTTCATTTATGATAAAGATTCTAAGAATGTATATTAAACATCCTGTATCGGAACACTATCTACACAGAGAAAAAAACTCTAGTAAAATTACTGTATTGTAGTGTAAAAACCATAATTTTGGTTAATAAAACCAAAATATACAGTATTTAAACAGCTCATTTCTTAATATTCATATAATAACGGTTGGAAATTCTGGTTTTCAAAATTATGCTTCTCATAACTAAACATTTATAAGAAAAATACAGCACTGAAAAGTAAATTTAGTCGAATAAATGGCTTTTATGCCATGCTCTAAGGTATCATGATAAAATGATCAAATTTTATCACATTTGCCTAATATTATTACGTAATATAATGCCATACTTTATAAGTGTTACCAAATTCATTACCAAAGTGGTTTGCTAAAGATTATCGAGCTTTTTGGTGTTCCCTTTACCCTATTATATAATTTATTATAAATTATTACTTATTACAAATTTACCTTAAAAAGTATGGGCAACAAAGCTATCAGCTTTGTTAACTATACTTTTTTTTAAGCAGAGCATACGTATATCCCCATATTATAAATATCCACACAACAATAACTACAACAATATTGAGAAAGCTTTCTCCTTTTTTAGAACTCGAAACATTCGGCTTTAAATTTTTTATCGGATTATTTTGGGAACATTCAGTACTTTCTATCTTTCTATCCATAAACAGATCGATAAGACAAAAACATGGATTACAATGTCTTGGCCCAGATTCAAGTAGTAGAAAATAATGGTAAGAGTTTAGATTTTTCTCTTATGGCAACCTGATTATCCCAATAACACGGAAAAAGCTTTAAATTTTAGCATTATGAAGTATTTTGTTTTTTGGATTATTCTTTTGTTATTTTATTTATAATGGTCAAAAATTTTTTGAATTGTAAGGTATTAATTCTTTTATATCATTTTATAGTATATAATTTTACACGGCAAAATTCAAATCTTGAGCGAGATCGGTTGAATAGTTCCTGAGCAATTGAATTATATATATACACTTTTTTGAAATTTGATTTCTCAGAAACTTTTCAACCGATTTCGCCCAAATTTTGTATTTTGCCCTGCAAGATTGATGAAATTTTTTTTATTTCTTATAGCTCGGAATTTTTTCGATTATTATTAAATAAAATAATAAAAATAATAAATATTTACTAGAATTTTTTTTTTTGCATGGAATTATCTTTGGATAAACGAATTTTATAATTGTATACAAATTTCTTTTAATTCGCTTAAAAAGATCGCGAGTTCTAGCTAAATACGTTAAAAGTAAAATTAACCTTAAGGAATCTAAACTTTGGAGTGCTCTCCTAACCAAACAATTGGGACCATATTTCCGATATTGCGGTACTGTATTTTGGGGGTCAGAAACCTGATTCCATCGAAATAAAAGCGTTTATTCAGAGAAAGTACGTTTTTGTGACTAATTTCGTAATTTAAAATATCGTATGCATCAATTAATTAGCATATTTGAGGTCACCCCATCGAACCATTAGGAATGAGTTCTAGAACGTGGAGATCTAATCATTAGATCACAAGTTATTCATGATGGTCTGGATTTTTTGGGCTCACAGTATACTGTAAAAATTTCGGAATTAAATTACAGTATAATGTTCTGGTACTTAGGCTGCATTATCCGTAAAATCCATTTTTACTGTAAAATATTATACCGTAATTTTTATATTAATCTATTTAATTCGAGTGATTTAGCGATTTTATGTTAATTATTACTGTAAAACTTACGGTATATCAGATTTTTGTTCCACAACATGTTCCGCTAAAAATGGATTTTACTGTAAAATGTATCGGCAACCTGAGTGACGGTAGTTTTTATCGTAGTTTGATTTGGAATTTTTTTAACAGCGTATTAGTTTTAAAAAACCAACTTAAATTTAAAATACTTATTTATTTTCTTTTCAAAATATTCATAAAACTATAATATACATTAAGAAAAAAGTAACAATCGAGTAGTTAATTCCTTTTTCTAGTACTAGGTACATATATATATTTGACTCTGTTCAGTAGTCAACAAGTGCTAACTAGTGCTTTTCAACTAGTAATAGTCAACTAGTGCTTTTTCTTTTTCCATTTCCTAGCAAATACACGGCCTTATCCAAAGTACGCATATCTGTGAAAGCTTGATGCTCAGGGAACTATCTTCACTTTGCATTTTAATTAACAGCACTGCCTCTAGGTAACATCTTTGCTTAATATAATTTTGCAAAAGTTATCTGCAATTATCTATAAGTCAGTGGTGATGCTCCCAAGAAATATTGATTATATATTTTCATCACTTTCTTTGCTTCTACCAATCAAAATATGATAGTTTCATTTAGAAATTCTTTCATTCTCTCATTGAGGAGTTAAATACATTGAATTTGTTACATTTGTAATTAAAAAGTCAGTGATAATTAATTAAGTTTACTATAATTTATACAGAGAGATTAAGAGTCAATTTAGTCCCTCTATATATATAACACAGAAAAAATTCTAGCAAAATTACTGTACTGCATGGTAATGATAATTTCTGGTAAACGAAAAAAATATGTATAATCCTGGTTAATAAAAGCAAAATATACGGTATTTAGACTATTTAGTTGGTAATTTTTGCATTCACGTGGCAATGCAATACCGAAAATTCTGATTTTCAATGTTATGGTTCTTATTACAACACATTTAGCAAAAAACACATAACTGGAAAGCAAATTTAACCGAATAACTGGTTTATAGGCCATTCTCTAAGGTACATTACCAAATTTTATTACATTTACCACATATTTATCACAGATTATAAAACGATATTTTATTGCTAACTT